AACAATCTACGGGGAGCAACCCGCCGTAAAGGAAATATTTGCCGTTGACGAAGTGATTCTGATATCATCACTCTCATTGGCAAAGGGGTCAAATTCGAAGGGAAAACAGGAGACCAAATAGCAATCACAAACTCTGGCCTCGACCCAACTAGAGAAGCAGGAGTCTAATAAAGATGATGATTATGGGGTCCATCGATCCTTCATAGTCCCCGATGATTCTTACGCTACCAAATCAACGGTCAAAGAACTGGAGCAAATCATACTACTTGAACATTTACCCAAACGAAAGGTATACCTGGGCACGGGGTTAAATTCTGAGGTCAGGAAAAAGCTTATTCAATTTCTTATAGCTAACATGGATTGTTTCGCTTGGTCCCATCTTGATATGACAGGGATCCCACCGGAAATCACCACCCATAGACTAAGCTTGGACCCGAAGTTTCATCCGGTGAAACAAAAAAGAAGACCCCAGTCCGAGGTCAAACATGCTTTCGTCAAAGACGAGGTAACTAAGCTTCTTAAAATAGGGTCCATCCGTGAAGTAAAATACCCTGAATGGTTAGCAAACATAGTAGTAGTCCCTAAAAAAGGAAACAAACTTAGAATACGTGTAGATTATAAGGATCTAAATAAAGCATGCCCCAAGGATTCTTTTCTTTTGCCTTATATTGATCGCATGATCGATGCCACGGCCGGTCACGAGATCCTTAGTTTTCTCGATGCCTATTCCGAGTACAATCAAATACAAATGAGCCCGGATGATCAAGAAAATACCTCATTCGTCACTAAGTGTGGTACCTACTGCTACAATGTAATGCCATTTGGATTAAAAAATGCTGGTGCCACTTATCAACGCCTAGTAAATCGGATGTTCGAAGAATAAATAGGGAAATCTATGGAAGTTTACATTGATGACATGTTAGTTAAGTCCCTGCGAGCAGAGGACCATTTAAAGCACTTGCAGGAAACTCTTAGTATATTGAAGAAGTACAACATGAAGCTAAACCCGAAAAAATGTGCATGCGGAGTCGGGTCAGGCAAATTTCTCGAGTTCATGGTATCTAATCGAGGAATCGAGATTAATCCCGACAAGATCAAAGCTATCGATGGCATCACGGTAGTAGACAACGTAAAGGCTGTGCAGAGGTTAACCGGGCGCATGGCCACCCTGGGGTGATTCATCTCAAGGTCCTCCGATAAATGCCACCGATGTTTCTCGTTGCTAAAGAAGAAAAATAATTTCACATGGACCTCGGAATGCCAACAGGCCTTGGAAGAGCTTAAACGGTACTTATCAAACACGCCGCTACTTCACACACCAAGGGAAGACGAACAACTTTACTAATATTTGGCAGTATCGGAGGTAGCGGTAAGTGAAGTCCTATACCGGGAAGAACGAGGTACGCAATTTACCATTTATTATGTCATCCGGACCTTAGGTGAGGCCGAAACTAGATATCCCCACCTAGAAAAATTGGCGCTCACTTTGATAAGCACCTCTAGGAAACTAAACCATACTTTCAATCTCACCCATATGTGTTGTAACAACTTATCCACTTCAAAATATTTTGCATAAACCCGAGCTTTCGGGACGGTTAGACAAATGGGCTATAGAAATCAGCGGGTATGATATCGAATATCGACCCCGAATAGCAATTAAGTCTCAAATTTTGGCAGACTTCGTAGCTGACTTCACACCGGCCAGAGTGCTTGAGGTCGAAAGAGAACTATTGATAAATTCAGGTATGTCCTTAGGAATCTGGACCCTCTTCACGGACCGTGCTTCGAACATGAAAGGGTCCGGGCTCGGCATCGTACTAAAACCACCCTCAGGCAACGTGGTTAGACAATCTATTAGAACTGGGAAATTGACTAACAATGAGGCCGAATATGAGGCCATGATTGCAAGTCTCGAACTACCCAAAGGCTTGGGGAGCGGAGGTGATCGAGGACAAATGCGACTCCCTCCTCGCAGTGAATCAGGTTAATGGAACATTCGAAGTTAGAGAAGACCGAATGAAAAGATACCTAGATAAGTTACAAGTAACTTTGCGCCGATTTAAGGAGTGGACTTTGCAACATGTGCCTCGAGATTAGAATAGTGAGGTCGATGCTCTCGCAAATTTAGGGTCATCAATCGAGGACAACGAGCTCGCTTCTGGGGCCGTCGTGCAACTCATGAGATAGTAATCGAAGAAGGTCACGCCGAGATAAATTACACAATCTTGACCTGGGATTGGAGAAGTAAGTACATAGAGTATGTGAAGACCGAAAAACTTCCCTCGGATCCGAAAGAATCTAGGGCCCTACGCACGAAGGCAGCGCGATTCACTTTGACCGAAGATGGAACCTTGTTTACAAGAATGATCAATGGTCCATTGGAGATATGTCTGGGACCGGGAGACACCGAGTACGTTCTAAGGGAAGTTCCCGAAAGCACTTGCGGAAATCACTCCGGTGCTGAATCATTGGTTCAAAAGGTAATCAGAGCCGACTATTACTGGATCGACATGGAAAAAGATACGAAAAAGTTTGTTCGAAAATGTGACGAATGTCAAAAGCATGCGCCAATGATTCACCAATCTGGGGAACTGCTCCATTCGGTCTTGTTACCATGGCCATTTATGAAATGGGGAATGGACATCGTCGGCCCCCTTCCATTGGCACCAGGTAAAGCTCAATTTATTTTATTTATGACTGACTATTTTTCTAAGTGGGTTGAAGCGCAGGCTCTCAAGAAAGTTAGGGAGAAGGAAGTCATCTACTTCATTTGGGATCACATCATATGTCGATTCGGGATGCCATCTGAAATTGTGTGTGATAACGGGAAACAGTTCATCGGCAGCAAAGTAACCAAATTTCTTGAAGATCATAAGATCAAAAGAATCATATCAACACCTTATCATTCTAGCGGGAACGGGCAAGCCGAATCAACCAACAAAACCATCATCCAAAATCTTAAGAAGAGGTTAACCGACGCCAAAGGAAAGTGGAAGGCAATTCTACCTGAAGTTCTTTGGGCATATCGCAAAACCTCGAAATCTAGTACCGGGGCTACCTCATTCTTATTAGTTTATGGCGCCGAAGCTCTAATATCGTTCGAAGTTGGAGAGTCGAGTATTCGGTTCCGATATACGACAAAGGAATCAAATAACGAGGCCATGAATACGAGCCTAGAAATATTGGACGAAAGGCGTGAAACTTTCCTCATCCGATTAGCTGCCCAAAAGCAACGAATCGAGAGATACTACAATCGAAGAACCAATCTTCGATATTTTAATGTTGGGGACTTAGTGATAAGAAAAGTCACCCTCAACACCCGAAATCCTAATGAAGGAAAATTGAGTCTGAATTGGGAAGGACCGTACCAAATTCTCGAGGTCACCGGAAAAGGGTCTTACAGGCTCGAAACAATGAATGGGGAACAACTACCAAGCTATTGGAACATATCTCACCTAAAACGGTACTACTGCTAAGGTGGTCGACAAGAAATGATGACTGAGCAAGCACGGAGTCCTTAGGTCTGAAAGCATATGTTGTACTCTTTTTTCCTCAAACCGAGTTTTGTCCCAAATGGGTTTTTTCGGCAAGGTTTTTAACGAGGCAACAATGAATCGTGCTAACTTAGAATCAAGCCCGATTACAAATCGGCATCGTAGATCCATTCGACATTATCCGAGGTTCCTTTGTAATCGACCTCGAATACTGGGGGGGAGGGGCTACCCTCGAATATGTTTTATCTTCGAATATCAACTCTAGAAAGGAAACTACTTCATAAAGGGAGGATTTCGATAAATACATTTTATTGTAAGGGTCAAACGGTCAAATCGAACCGTGCCCATATAGATTGCTCGAACACTGTTTCGATCGAGAATAAAGAGAAGTATGTTCCTTACAAACATCTTATGCTTTAAAATTAGCAAAATTTCTTTATCTTCCTTCTTGCAAAGAGCTTCGTACTTACGAATATAAACAAGCCCAAGGGTGATACTTAACCGGAATACGAACGATCTCTCCCTCACTTGGGGACTACCATCCGACTCAAACAGCCCAAGTCATCGGGCCTCAGGAGCAAAAGACCTAATAGGCAATGCCCCGATTTCTAAGAGTCACGGCCACCCTACTCGGGAACTACTATCTCGGGCCAGCCCAGATAAAATGGGAAAACAAGCCCAATGGGTAACTCCCAAACTAAAAGGCTACGGCCAATTTAACACGGCTCGGAGACGTTCGAAATCCGTAACAAAAATAAGCCTTCAAAATAGGCCTTCTATAGAGAATATAGAGAAGTATGTTCCTTACAAATATCTTATGCTTTAAAATTAGCAGAATTTCTTTTATCTTCCTTGTTTGCAAAGATCTTCATACTTCCGAATATAAATAAGCCCAAGGGCGATACTTAAACGGAATATGAATGATCTCTCCCTCACTTGGGGACTGCCATCTGACTCAAACAGCCCAAGTCATCGGGCCTCGGGAGCAAAAGACCTAATAGACAACGCCCCTAATTTCTAAGAGTCACGGCCACCCTACTCGGGAACTACTATCTCGGGCAAGCCCAGATAAAACGGGAAAACAAGCCCAATGGGTAACTCCCGAACTAAAAGGCTACGACCAATTTAACACGGCTCGGAGACGTACGAAATTCGTAACAAAAATAGCCTTCAAAAAATAAAAAATTCTTTCACAACCGGTTGTAAAAGTCTACCCTTGGCAAAATCTCAGACTTAAGATATTTTTCGGGAAAAACTTTGATAACATCGAACCCTGATAAAGCCTAAACCCAGAAAGGAAATAAAGGCAAGGTTTGTTCGAACCCTCGAACATAACCTTATTTTATGCTAAGGCATTTTTAACCTTTGTAATTACAAAAAAACAAAGGAAAGATACGAGAGCCGAAAGGGCAAGAAAAGCCTTATATTTATATACAATAGTGTTTTACAAAGGCCAAATCTGCCTAAATTTACAAGGGCAAAAAAACGACCTCAAAAAATAAAGTCCTAAGAGGCTCGGTCTTCATCGGGGGTCACATCTTCATCCTCTGAATCTTCTCTGTCTTCGAATTCACTTGAACTCTCGGAGTCTTCCTCGGGAAAGGCTAGCTTCCGGGCCATGGTTTCCTCCACTCTGGCCTTTTCAATCTCATCCATCATATCGAAGCTCTGGGCCTGAACCCCTTCGAGGGCTTCCCTTCGAACCTGTCATTTCACATGTTCGACCATACCCTTGGCCTTGATGACTTCTACATCGACCCTAAACTGGGCCACTTTAGCATCAGCTCTTTTGTTGGCCTCGGGCACCTCAGATCGGGCTATGGCCACCTCGGATCTGGCCACTTCGAGTTCATCAGCCAAGCTTGCCTTATCAGAAACGGCCAAATCCAACCGATGCTGAAGCTCCTTGATCTTCTCGATCTGCACCGAGGCGTTCTCTTTTGCAACTTGGAGCTGGGTCTCGGCCGACTCCAGTTGAGCTTGGACGATCTCTTTTTTCGAGGCTAGAATGTCCATATTCTTTTTGCATTCTACCTCCTCGGCCTGTATCGCATCCACCTGCTTTTGGAGCCGTCCGATTTGTTCGAACCTCTGTCGGGCCTACAGAATCGGATCATTAGTATTTATCTCCAATTCATCTTCACTATCGTGAAACATTCGAAATACCTGCTCAGCCTTCTCGGCATGCTCATCCCGTGCCGTTGCCAAATCTGCTCGAAGCTTCTCACTAAGAAGTTTGTAGGTGTCACTCTTCTCAAAGAGGTTCTGAACCTCAGCCTCATGCTCCTCCTAGATTCGGAGGAAAGCCTCGTGATGCAACACCGAAGCCTGCAAATAAGGAAGAAGCTGTTAGAATTATCTACAACTCTAAGTATAAAAGAAAAAGTAGAGATACCCTCGAAGTTACCCGATTCAGAACATGTTGGGCCTCGTTGAAAAGGCAATCGGCTCCTACCGTGTTCATCACGGCTTGATCCTCTTCGATCACCAAGGACCTAAGGTAAGTAGAAATCCCCACGGGGGGAGAAAAAACTCGGGCATCCTACGGGATGGAGAGCACTATTTTCTGCCTATAATCAGGATTAACACTCAGGGCCGGGAATTGGTCCACCGGTTTTGGGATCGATGAAGACCCGATAGCGCCCGACCATGATGCTTTCTTTTGTACCGGTAATCTACCGAAACCGATAATATCCTCCGAGGCAGCGGACTCGATCCCATCCAAAAATTCATGGATATCAGTCGACCCTTGAATACCCTCGTAAGATCGACTTTCCAACATGATATCCTCACGGATCATAGCATCCGAAATTTGAGGGGATCCAGTAATGTCGACTATCCCAAGCTCGTCCCTTGGGATATCTTCTGCTTCCCGAGAAGCCTTGCCTCCGCTCTCTCCTTCGACCATCTCGGCTCAGGACGGAATGGCTTCAACTTTTCCTTGTTCAGGAATTATGGCCAGAGCTCCCTTATCAACCTCCGCCGATTGGGAGGGATGTTGTATCACAACATTAGCCCGCACACAGGCTACTTTCTCTTCTCCTTCTTTGGGCTCATCCCTTAATCGGCGGATCAAGTCCGAAGGCATAATACCGGAGCCCCCATTGGGCTTGCGAGATTTCTTCGTCGGTTTTTTCTTTTCCAAAACTGGTGAACTCGGAGCCCTTTTTCTCTTCTTCTTCTTTTTGACCTGCTTCGGAATGGAGACTTCTTCGTCACTAGATGGGGGCCTCATGGCAACGTCCTTCCCAAGACCTACGAAGGGAAAAATGGGAGTAAGCAAGAGAAGAAGATCAAACGATAACCGTTCTAAGCAGGAAACTTACCATGACTGCGGGCATCCCATCGACCCTTTGATAATTCCATCCAAGCACGCTCGGAGTACGGTCTCTACAGCACCAGACCTTCAACCTATTGTTTAAGTTCCGAAATCGGTTCCGACATCCGGGCCACAGCTGTAACAAACATAGAAAAAGCACATAAAGAAAATAAAAAGCAGAGCCACAAAATTAAAAACATTCAAAGGGGAATACTACTCACGATTCATATTCCATTTCTCAGGAAATGGCATGTCGTCAGAAGGGATCAGGTCCGAAGTTCTGATTCGAACAAATCAGCCCATCTAACCTCGGTCACAGGTCTCATCTATGCTCGAGAACGGGGCTTTGGTGTCTCGGCGAGCAAGCTTGATTAGCCCTCCTCGATAGAGTCGGGGACTGTAAAGGCGCATAAGGTGATCGAGGGTGAAAAGACACCCCTCAATTTTGCTCAGAAAGAATCGGAGGAGAATCACTATTCTCCAAAAAGAAGGGTGGATCTGGCCGAGGGTCACGTCGTATCTTTTGCAAAAGGCGACGATGACAGGGTCTAAGGGACCCAACGTGAAAGGATAAGTATAAACACTTAAGAACCCCTCCACGTGGGTAATAATCGATTCTTCAGGCGATGGGACTACCACATGCTTTCCGCCCCAGTTGCATTCCTTTTTTACTTTGTCGAGGATTTTATCGGTGATTGTACACTGATACCTCGAGATCGGCTCACATCGGTCCGGTACCGAAGAGGGTTTTTCGACCTTAAAGTCGATAATGATTGAGCACCCTACCAGAACGAATTCCTCAAGGTGAGGCTTCGTCGCATCCTCGCCGCCGGCGGGTCGTGATGAAGAAGCTGCCTCTTTTTGCGGCACTGTTTTGGAGGTTTTCGCCATTGATAAACAAGAGAAAAGAGAATTAGGGTTGTATGCGGTGTGAAAATTATGAATCAAAGGGATTTTCTGAAGAAGATGCAAGAGTAGAGAAGAAGCTTTGAGTGGAAAGGTTTGAATGAGTATGAAAGATTGAATACTTATAGCTTGGTGATGACGGTTTAGAACTGGTAGTGGCCGATCAACGACTGACGGGCATTTAATGCCTTGGTAACTGAACCGACGGGACGTTTGTCACATACGTCATAATCGGGCTCGTCGCTGACGTCATTACCTATCTAGTCGGAGTTCAAAAATTCGTGTCGTTTCTCATTTCTTCTTTCCGAGAAAAGAGGGGACTATCTGTATACGGTCAAACCCGAGTTTGCCCTTCGTATGAATAATCGAGATTTGAACATGATAGACCAAGGTTCAACTTCGTGTAATATCGAGCCATGATGCGAAGCTAGGTTGCCGAGCTCGAGACCCAGAGACCGGCCAAGATCGAGACCGGCCAAGATCGAGATCGGCCAAGATCGAGGTCGAGCAAAATAGAGACCGGTCAAGATCGAGATCGGCCATGATCGAGGTCGAGTAAAATAGAGACCGGTCAAGATCAAGATCGGCCAAGGTCGAGGTCGAGCAAAATAGAGACCGATCGAGGATGAGATCGGCCAAGATCGAGGAAAGCTTATCGAGCCAAAAAACAGAAAGCCGGAATATCCGTAATTGGGCGAGAATCTCGGCGAAAATCACGGCGCATATCAATGTGAGGCCAATTAATTAATCTATCTTGTGATTTCTTGTTGTATTTAAAAATTATATTAAGAATAGGACTTTCCTACTATATAAATGGAGGTCTGATCATTTGTAAGACAGATTGAGTTAGATTTAGAGAATATAAAGCAATATACTACCTTTCTTCTGGTTTTGATTTTTGGTTCTTGTATCATTTACTCTCCATTCAGTTTGAGGGCGATCAAACTTGAGGGCCTACGCCAATTAATTCATTCGGTTTGCATTCATATCTTTTACAGTTAATTTCTATATTCATTTACTTATTTTCTTAATTTATATCAAGTTATACTACGTATTCTTAGAACCGCATATAAATTCAATTGTTATCCGTTTTTCGGGTAAACAGTTAGGAAAGTGAGGAAAAATTATATTATTTTGTATCACCTCTATATCCGTTGGAATTCGAGTTTTGATTCCTAAAATTGTCACTCCAACTATTTGATCGCTAAGTCACCCTTAAGGCTATTTCATTATCAGATGTTAATGTTAGTAATGCGAAAATAGGCATATAGTAATTAAAATGAGGTGTATTTCTTAAAAGTGAAGGTATTGTATTGAAGAGTGTGAGTCCATGTGTAAGATGATGTGGGGAAAGAAAGTAGGTAGGCTGTAGCCATCACATGTTCAATTAAAAACAAAAGACCAACTCCAGTTGTTACATGTATCAGACGCTCAAGCAGGAAAAAGAAAATGAAATTCTGCTTAAATAAAGCACATCTTAAAAATACTCAATCAGAATTTAAATATTGTAATTTTGAATCTGAGCAAGTAAATTGTAAAATGTATACTATTTATAAATTTTATTCATATACATACATAACTCGACCTCAAAATAATGATTTTCGCATAATTACAAATTTATTCTTGAATCCGTCACTAAAGTAGACAATCATAAACATTAGGACTCGCCTGGATGCTTCCATATGGAACAGAATCACGAAATGACCCCAAAAGAAAAAACAAATAGATATTCTAATTATTTATTATGAATTTCCCACTGTCACACACTCGTACAGCATATCAACATAGAATTTAATGGATATAATTTTCTATACGGCACAAAGAATACATTAAATTGGAACAGTATATTGTGATGGAGACCAGGCCTAAAATTGTCTGCTCCAATTGAAAAGTTGACGAGCAATATGCGCCAGTAAGTAATCTTATCTTTGGCCATTGACAATTGACAAACGATAACTACTTTTAGAGTAGGGCTGGCAAGTGGGTCGATTTCGGATCCAAACGGGTCAAGTGGGCCGGTTCAAACGGTCCTGGGCTCGGTCCCGGACCGGTTCCAAATTAAACGGGCCAAACGGCTTTTGTAGGGACCGAAACCGGGACCGGGACCGTTTGGTCCCGGGCTAAACGGTCCCGGCCCGCGGGCTAAACGGGCTAAGTGGGCCCAACATATTTTTTTTTTAAAAAAAAATTAAATAAATATTAGAGACAAAAGGATGTTAAAAAAAATATCTAAGACAATGCTTTGTAAATTTTATTATAGAATTGTGATCTAAATTTTAATATTCAATATTTAATATCGAATATATATAGTATATAAGATGTATATATTATATAGTATATATATTAAATGTATAATATATATATATANCGTTAAGGGACCGGACCAGTTCCGGGCTCTGGCGGGCTAAACGATCTCGGACCTGACGAACCCAAATCATAGGACCGGCCCACGAGACCGGCTCAGGCCACTAAAATCACACTCTGATTGCAACTTGAACCTAGAGTATCACACTCTGATTGCAACTTGAACCTACTCCATGCATGACTTGCTAATGCAAAAGTTTTCTATAGTATTATTATCAGATTATTTTAGACAAATATACGTGCTGAAATTTTGTACTAATATTATGAGGTTAATGATAAACAAACATTCCACCGTTAATTGGTTTTGATACGGTCACCTCTGAATATTTCACCTAGATGACTTAATTAGTGGCTGGGGTGACAAAATGATAAAAAGAAAATACTTAACCACCCATATTATTCACTAAAAATTAGGTTGGATAATGAACTTTTTAAAAATCAAAATTTGATTACGTCCAACTATGTCTTATAAAAAGGACTAAGCGGTCATTGCAAATATAATCTGGTTTACAAGTCCGGAGTCGAATCCTACAAAGAACGAAGGCTTAGCTACAGTTGTTCAATATCGCTAACAAATACAAGTCTAAACAATTTTCTAATTATAAAGATGATAATGTTTATTTTTATCTAATTAACTAACAAATACTAGAAAGCGGTAAAATTATCAACTAACAAGGATGAAATTTTAGACAAGACTAAGGAGGTCTAGAGTTATGATTTTTTCAATTGTCGGAATCCTTCCCGTTGTGCCTTCTATAATTTCTCCTAAGTTTTCTCTACCGATCATGAGCGCACTGAGTGTCGTAACTCTCTCCCGAGTAATTACCACAATTTACTAGACATATTCTCTCGAATTACGCTAGCTGACATTAAGT